TTTTGTTGTGTAAATGGTCTTCAGATCATTAACTCATTTCTCATTGGCAAGGCTCCCTACGTCTTGTCTTTTCAACACGAATGTGATCAGTGTTGCCCACTAACCATTCTAAATCTCTGCCCTTGGCATGTTCCGAAAATATAGCTTAAAGTGCAGCATTTTTTTAAAATTCAGCTAATGTAATCAAAATAGATCACCTCTGTCAACCTGGGTTGCTAGCTACTAGGGGGGAAATAAGAGTCTTATAGGTTCATGAATCTTTAGTAGTCCATTGCCATAAACAAATCCATAGATGGCACGTTTCACCGAATGATGGTGAGCAGGAATGTCAGGGGGACATGAATACTTTGGGCAGCAGGTACCAAGAGGGTCATGTGGCTTCAAGGGAGTGTTGGAAGATAGAGTTACATATGTTTCATGGAGCCTGCATTCCTTAAGCTTGCTTGCTGTTGTTAATTATGATTCCGGCAGAGCAACACACATCACATTTAAAAAGGAACTCGTTGGCAGCCAGGTTAGCGTTAGCATTGGTTCCATCACACAAGTGATTCGTGGCATAGCGCATTGCTGAAGTGTTGTACTGCTATTAGCAGCAGAACATAAGAACACAACGAAGTGTTCCTGGTCCCCCCAGTGGCCAATTCTGACACTGCGCATTGGAAATTTTTTTAAAAACCCCAAAAACCCCACAAAAGAATATTTAGCTCTCTTGTCTCTTTGAATGAATAAAGGAATGGAATGTAGATAGAAAGGAATGCCTACAAAAGCTTTTAGAGGATAAGAATAAAGACGTAACAAACAGAGGTGCCAAATTTGGACGGCTGGCAATAAAACTAAGGGATAACTGGCTAAATAATGATAGAATAAGAAGTACTAGAGATATGGTATAGGATATAAAGCTGACTAGAGTCTATATAGCTAATCAGATGTACATCCTTACTATTGTTATATCATTTTATTGTGCATTTTAATGTATATGTGTATGTTCACGGTTTTAATAGCCAGTGGCTATAACAAACTTTACAGAGAGAGACAAGAATGGAGTAACTCCTGAAAAATTCCCATCAAGTGTCCCTGATACGGCTTAAAATGCAACTTATCCAGTCAGCGTCCATACATGGAAGCCGAAAAAGAGCTACAATTGTGTCCTGCTTCTCAGGCAGCAAAATATCATGGCCCCAGACCCCATTTTTCTGCTTCACTCCCTGACCAATTGGTGCACATCATGATGTTCATGAGGTGGGGTGAGGAAAGTCTAAAAGGTTGACAATCCTACTGCCAACATTTTCAAGGAGGCAACAATGGTACAAAAATATAGGCCAGGAGACTAATTTTTAACTTAGAGAGTCTTGCGTGTAGATGCATGATTGATGCAGGACCTTTGACCTTGAATCCTAGGCCAAACGAGTCACATTTAAGTGGGTGTGCAGATCCCTGAGACACACTAAATCTCTTTTTTTTCCCCCAGGCTCGACTCCTCTCTATTCATACATGAGCTGTGCTCCGAATTGTCGTACCATCCTTCAAGAGCCCAGACATTTACACATCACCCAGACGGTTATATGCTGCTCTTACAGAAATTTCTGCAACAGCTAGGGAAGTTGATGGATGAAAAAGAGGGGAAAAGACAGAGGACGAGAAAGCAAATAAGGGATACTATTCCCAATAGCATTTCCATTGACACTACCTGCTGCTAGCACAAAAACCCCAAACACTTTCTCTTAAAGCAAGGACAGGGAATTTCTTTCAACCCAAAGGTGGAACTTTATTTCCGTGTAGTTCTCAGGAGCCCACATTCCTGTGGTCAGTGGGACCAAATATCAATACTATTTATGTGCCATCAAGTTGATTCTAACTTACAATGATCATAGAATTTATACATGTTTTTCCAGCTTGTGAGATGCCTTGAATTCCACTTTGGGGAGAAAGGCAGGATGTGGATCAAATAAATAAAATGCTTTATAAAGTTATTACCACATTTAACTTGATCCTCATTGCTCAGATCCATCCTACAGATAAAATCTTATCCCTGAAAGTGCAGAAAATTCGCCTGGCAATAAGGGCTATAACTGGTGACAGTTTATATGGCACAATAAATATTAATTGCCAATTAATATGTCTATTTATTAATAAATAAATATGAATTAATTACAGTTAATAACAATAGTGCTGTAGGATTTTATGTACGTCAGATATGGTCCAACACATGGCATACACTGTTTTATCAAAAGCTTGGAAAAATCACTTTTCTGGGTGAACTTTTCTAATATCTTCAATATGGACACTGGACTGGGATTTGTAGTCAAAAAAGCAACTTTTCCAAATGATGCTGCTATTCCAGGGATGTGGCACATATACCAGCATCCAAATTGGTCAAGGTCTCAAAGAAATATCCTAGACCAAAATCCTGTTGTGCAGCTCTGCATAACAAGATGCCATCACTGTTGAGAGATCACCTCCACTTCAAGACTTCCCTACTCAATTCACGCTGTGCACAGCTCACATACAATGAGACGAAGCTGTGTACACTTGGGAAATCTTTACTCAGTGACACAGAAAACAGTAGCATTTCCACTATGCAGGTAGAACCCACACAAAAAGATTTTGGCTTAAGTTTCCTTAAGATATTTCTTCCATGGGAAGAAAGGTCCCACTCCTGTTAAACGTCTTCTCATAATTATCTGGACCCAACACTTCTGTAGAGGAGATGTATCAAAAATGGTGACGGAAGAAGACTGAATCTTCCATGAAGACCATTATTAATGGGAAAGGAAACAATCCTGGGTTCAAATTTAGTTCTGAATACAGGTAGATTTGTTTTCCAAACCCTGCCCCCACCTGACAGCTAATAATCATTCATAAAAAGATGGTGAATGCTGCTGAATGAGGGAAAATAATTCTGACAATCATCCAGAAAATGGGAGGGGGGGAACTGAAGCACCTTTTACTGGTCCAGCTGCTAAAACCATTCTGAAAGTTAATAGTTTCACCAGTAAGGAGATCTAATAAGGCATGAAAACCAAGTGTCCATTCCTTGTAGTACAGCAGCAACTAAATTAAGAATGTTGTCTTGGACACTTCAAGATAGTTTTGTTGAACATTGGTAAAAACGCCATGTTAGGAAGAGGGCAATGTTTCAGAGATGATGTGTGTAGGATCTGGGCCATTTTGACTGAAAGGAAGCCATGCTTCATAATTTAACAGTAAAGAGGCAAGATAGCTAAAGAGATAAAAGATAAGCAAGACTGAGGGTGCAATTAGACAGCCAAATTGTGCTGCCCTGGTTCCATCTTGATCATGTTAGACAGGGATGCTTCAAGATACATTATGGGCAATCCTTGCATCCACATGCAAGGTTCGACCACATTGCACCTCAAGCAACCCTGTTTAGCACAATCAAAATCCTCTTTCCTTTTCTCAAGATCAGTAAGCAGCTTCACCAAAGGGAGGGACAGCCAGCCACTTAATCTTGAGAAAGGGAAAGTTTCCTTTCTGCTCACTTTTGGAGGTCAAAGGAGAAGTTGGTCGGCATTTCTTTTTAATTGTTGCTAAAGTAGCAATGATGCTTTGAAAGCATTTTTATTTTTTAAGCTGTGTCAAAGTATCACTGATGCGTTGTGTCAAACAGCAACAATTAAAAAGAAATGGAAAGATTTCTCTCCCTTCCCCTCCAAAGGTGATTAAGTAGATTTAACAATCCTGAGAAACTGAAAGTTTGTGTTACATTCACCTTTGGAGGGGAAGGGAGATGAAACTTTTCTGTTTCTCTTTAATTGTTGGTAGGTGACAGCCCCCTCAAAGAAAGCTTCTGAAGCATCGTTGATCGGTTAGCAACAAAGAAATGCAAAATGTCCTCTCTCTTGCCCTCTACACCACCCCAGGCAAGCAGAAAGGAAGTTTTACATTTCTCAAGATCAGCAAAGGGACACACTGGAACCAAACCAAAATGGAACACCCCTACTTGCACCAAAAAACAAAACAAAACAAAAAAGGAGCCTCTGACAGGGACTCCAAAAGATGTTGGTAGACATCAATCAAGACAGGGTGGTACATAAAGGCACATACATTGCGTGGTAGCCACAAAAAGGAGCAAACCAACCTGTCCTCAACCCAGACTAATTCATTGGACTAATGCCCTTCTGATCACACCGAGAGTGACAGAGCAGGAGACCCGAGTTCTCGCTTGGTCATGGAAACTCACAGGAGGTTGCCAATGATAGAGCACATCTTGAACATCTCCCATACCTTGAAAATACTATCAAGACTGCCATAAATCAGAAGTAACTTGGGAACATCAAGCCAAAACATTCCTTTTGTGCAGAAATAGTCATTATAGATAACGACAAGATGGTGCAATCTTCTGAGCCTCTGTAGAAGTCAAGCCACTGTAGAAGCACATTTGCTAGCTTTTATAGACACAGTTAAAAGGTGGGGGAAACTGGTTCTACAAGTTGTAGCCCAAGCAGCTGTACAGGATCATAACCGGCCAGTATTTCACAGGTCGGTACAACCCACTCCTACCCTGAGCAGGAAAGTATTTCACTAAATATTCAAGAGATATTTTTGCCCCTTTAAGAAGCAGACCAGGATTATTTGTGGAATTGTTGGTTAATTCCACCCTTTCCCCCAAGAATGGGAACTGGCCAGAGACCAGCATCCTGTTGGATTCAAAGCATATGTTACAGAGAACATATTTTGAGAACGAATACCTGAGAAGTTGAGAACTTCTGGTTCTCACATCAAGAGCCTTTCATACGCCCATGGCTTTCCAATCATCTTTCTTTGTGATTGGTTAGTGAGAGGTTCTGCATAAGCTTCATTAGCAAGTATAGTTGCTTAGGCAAAATGGTTTGCCTTAATCACATATCTAACTCTAAGAGACTCCCTTTTCCAATGACATGCTATGTAACAATCATTTTCATATATAGCCAGTGAAGTCTTAGTACCTAATGTTTTCTTTCATTTGGGATAGCAGTAAAATTTAGAATAAACTGGACAGATTCAAAATAGGGACTATATGCATTTTATTCCTTTCTCATGGCATTAAATAGATCCAACGCTTCTCTTCCAGTCTCTACAACAGAAGAAAAGCAACATTTAGGCATTTTCAGAGCACAAGACATGTACGGGGAACAAGAAATGCTACATACCAATGCTGGAAAAGTTAATTTTCAAAGTCATTCATTATACAACTTTATATAGACCATTAAAACCAAGCATTCAACTCAAGCTTTTGTGAAGAGGCACCACCTCTTCTACATTTTGTATGAAGAGCCACATGAGTTGTGTAAACAACCACACGGCTATCTCTGTTGTTTTTGCTGCTATTGTATTTGGAGCTTTTATAAGCAAAATAGGTATTACTTTAAAAAATCCTTTTAGTTTGATAAGGCAATGGCATAAACCTTCTACTCAGAAGGCCTCCAAATATGCTCTAAAATACCTCCAACATTACTGAAAAGTTAAAAAACACTAATGTTCATAATTTTGAACTATAACAATACTACATCCTTGTTGCCAAAGAAAGAAAGTGAAAAAGAAAGGAGACAGAGAGACCCGTTGAATGAATAGGATTTGTGAAGTCAACACTTACATACGCCCCATTAACTCAGTAGCTCTAGTTGGGACTAAGAACTGGATTTACTTTAAAGTTATATGTAACTCATTAAAGTTGTGTGTAACTCATTAAAGTGGCTGTCCAACAAGGCCTTACAAATAGTAGAGAAGAGAAGGGAAACAAAATGCAAGGGAGATAGGGAAAGTTACAGAAAACTGAATGCAGACTTCCAAAGAATAGCAAGGAGAGACAAGAGGGCCTTCTTAAATGAACAATGCAAAGAAATAGAGGGAAATAATAGAAAAGGAAAAACCAGAGATCTGCTCAGAAAAATTAGAGATATTAAAGGAATATTTTATGCAAAGATGGACATGATAAAGGACAAAAATGGGAGGGACCTAACAGAAGCAGAAGACATCAAGAGGAGGTGGCAAGAATACACCGAGGAATTATATCAGAAAGAGTTGGACATCCCGGACAACCCAGACAATGTAGTTGCTGACCTTGAGCCAGACATCCTGGAGAGTGAAGTCAAGTGGGCCTTAGAAAGCTTGGCTAACAACAAGGCCAGTGGAGGTGATGACATTCCAGTTGAACTATTTAAAATCTTAAAAGATGAGGCTGTTAAGGTGCTACATTCAATATGCCAGCAAGTTTGGAAAACGCAACAGTGGCCAGAGGATTGGAAAAGATCAGTCTACATTCCAATCCCAAAGAAGGGCAGTGCCAAAGAATGCTCTAACTACCGTACAATTGCACTCATTTCACACGCTAGCAAGGTTATGCTCAAAATCCTACAAGGTAGGCTTCAGCAGTATTTGGACCGAGAACTCCCAGAAGTACAAGCTGGATTCCGAAGAGGCAGAGGAACTAGAGACCAAATTGCTAACATGCACTGGATTATGGAGAGAGCCAGAGAGTTCCAGAAAAACATCTACTTCTGCTGCATTAACTATGCAAAAGCCTTTGTCTGTGTGGACCATAGCAATCTATGGCAAGTCCTTAAAGAAATGGGAGTGCCTAACCACCTTATCCATCTCCTGAGAAACCTATATGTGGGATAGGAAGCAACACTTAGAACTGGATATGGAACAACTGAGGGGTTCAAAATTGTTGTAGATCACAAGCTGAATATGAGCCAACAGTGTGATATGGCTGCGAAAAAGGCAAATGCTGTTTTAGGATGCATTTAATAGTATCCCAAAAAGCTCCATGAAGCACTAATTTTCCTTTATTTGGCTTATCTAGAGCACTGGTTCTTAACCTTGGGTTACTCAGGAGTTTTGGACTGCAACTCCCAGAAGCCTTCACCACCAGCTGTGCTGACTGGGGTTTCTGGGAGTTGCAGTTCAAAAGCATCTGAGTAACAAAGGTTAAGAACCACTGATCTAGAGTACTGTATCCAGTTCTGGACACCATACTCCAAGAACTATGCCGATGAACTGCTAGAGCAGTACAACAATAGAACCAATTATCTTGTGAGGTGGTGAGCACTCCAACACTGGAGGCACACAAGAGAAAGTTAGAAAACTATCTATCAGATATTGTAATCAGATATTGCATTAAGAACACGGAGATTAAAATTGGGAGGGGGGCAGGAGAGGCCAATATGTTGAAAAATTATGAAGACCCAGTCGATTATGACAGGAAAGAAAGATAATTGAAAGATACAGACAGGAAGGCAAAAGCATGCCGGTTAATCTAGAGACTCAAAGAAGGATGGGCTACTATATTATAAAGCCTTTTCTGTTACCCTAAGCCTTGGAGAAATCCTATAACTATATTGCAGCTCAGGAGTGGGGAATCTATAGCCCTCCATATGCTGATAAATTACTAGTCCCATCATTCCTCACCACTGGACAGGTTGATGGGGGCTAATGGGAACTGGAGTCTAAAAACATATGGAGAGTCACAGGTCTTAGTTAGCCTGCTCCAGCGTGTGTCTTGTTTACCAGAGTGAGTTGGTGCAACATGTCCCACACTTACTTCCTCTCTGAAAAGGCATGAGGAAGTCCATTCCATCCTCACCTTCCATCAGAACTCATACTCTTAGTTCTCCTTTTGCAGCAGGCTTCCTCCCTTTTCCAGTTCTTTTCCCCTATAAAAGAAAGTTAACACATTTACGTATTTATTCTTTGCACTTATACTCTATCTTGCCCCCAAAGAAATCAAGGTGGTATACATGGCTTTATATCCTCAAAACAACCCCTTGAGGTAGGTCAGGCTTGGAGACTTCAACTGGCCCAAAGACATCCAGTGTGTTTCATAGGCAAGAAGGAATTTGGACCCAGATTTCTTGAATCTTAACCCAATACTCAAGCTTCTTGCATGGCTATTAGGTTGCAAGCCATAAGGGGCTAGAGGGTCCCAGAGGGTAGGTGAACACATTAGGATTAATCTTTCTATATCTGTATACTACCGTTCTTCTTAATATGGATTGCTCCTTCTATTTGTTCTGATATGGTGGTTGCACAAAACTTCCTTTGCGTAGCATAAGAGTTCAGGTTAAGCAACGTCAGTGATCTCCCAAGAGGTTGTAGCTTGTCTCAGTCTTCAGGACTGCTCTTAACGACACCATCATCTCCTCAAGACCTTTCATCTGGTTTTATCACATTTAAACTTAGGAGGCTGCAAGTTTGACATAAAAATCCCAATGCACTACTTTGTGTGCACAACATTCTAAGACTCTTTGGGGATGTCTACATGGGCTCATTTGGAACAGGCTGGTATGGGCTATATAGAGTCCAGTATGCCAGCTTTTGTGCATCCAAACGGCATAAACACTCAAGTGACCCTATTTGGTCTGACTAATTTAAGAAAGCTAAAGAAAAGAAAAGAAATCTTCATCCTTGCTCCCTCCTGCTTCCAGAAGGAAGGTTTCGCTTATTTAAAATTTTCTGCAAGTGATGCAGCACATCAGAGATGGCCTAGTAGGTTTTTTTAAAAAAAATCTTTTGCTTCCTTCTTCTACTCCGTAGAGGAGTAGAGCAAGGAAGTTTTTAATTTCTCTATTTAGTATGTGTTCTCTGTATCTGTATGTTGTCTTGTCAAAAAAATATCCTTGCCCCCATCTGTCTCCTCCCACGTTTGGGAGGAGGTTTTCAATTTTTCTTTTATTTTTTTCAAAGTCATGCAGCGTATCAGCACTATCAAAGTACAGAGTTCCCTCTGCCACCAAATCAGTAGCTACCCCAGCCCTGAGATCCTCCAAACCCTAGAAGTCAAGCAATTACTATGATGGCTGGTGGGCTACCTTCATCCTTTCACCAGAATGTCTTTGGGACATCATGTATGGTGATGCAAGCTCTGGGCCACAGAAACATTGTGGGAGGACCAGCAATGATGTGTTGAACAGCAGCATCTATCAACAATGTCTGGTGCATCCGCCTTTGACCACCAAAGAGAGAGAACAGAAAATAGCCAGGGCAATCCTGAGGAAAGGACGTAGGGCCCTGCCAAATCCAGTATCTATTTTCTGGAGTAAGATTGTAACTCCTATGATTCTTCACCATGCTAAGTCTGGCTATGGCTCATGAGGAGCAAATTCAACAGCGTATGGAGGGCCAAAGGTCTAAAAACATCAAAGACAAATGCCTTTGCTGAATCTAAGAGGGCTTGCATTGCCATCTAGGAATCTCATGGAGTAGTAATGGTGACTTCAAGTCCTTTGGTAGGATCGACAAGGAAATAAACTGCTTCCAGATTCTGAAAGATGGGACTTCTTTCTACCCACAGTTAAATTTTTACCTGAGGCTGTTCCTGGGCAGCCTGTTCTTGTTCTTTCTTGGCAGCAAATGTACGTTTGGCAGGTGGCTGCCTGACAGGATTTACGGGAGACCCTTCCTTAGAAGAACTCTGTTCCTCCTCATCTTCCTCTGATGATGATGATGATTCTTCCTCCTCCTCCTCTTCATCCCACTGTAAGCCGACTACAAGACAGAACAGCCTCATGAAACTCTATCGAGCTACTTGGTTTTTAGTACTCTAAATCAGGAGTGGCAAACATTTGGCACGCCAGATGGTTTGGACTACAACCCATACAGTCCTTTATCACTGGCAAGGCAGGCTGAGGATTCTGGGAGTTGTAGTCCAAAACATCCGAAGGGCCAAAGGTTCACCACTTCTGGTCCAAAGGGAAGTATTCTCCCACAAAGCCCATCTAAGTTTAAAGAGTTTCATGCTGGATTTTCTCTTGGTCCCGCCATTCTTGAGAAAACATTTTGTTATGGATTTTCCCAGACTGTGGGATTACTTGGTGAAGGGGGCTATTTTGCTCCTCTTTCCTTCTGTTGTGTTTAGCAATTCACTGCCTGCTGAGGAATGGGCTTTTAAAAGGTTGCATCTATGTATATGTATTTTTTTAATAGGGATGTGGCAGTGCTCTGGGTTAAACCGCAGAAGCCTCTGTGCTGCGAGGTCAGAAGACCAGCCGTTGTAAGATCGAATCCACGCGATGGAGTGAGCTCCCGTCACTTTGTCCCAGCTCCTGCCAACCTAGCGGTTCGAAAGCATGTAAAAATGCAAGTAGATAAATAGGTACCACCTCAGTGGGAAGGTAACGGCATTCTGTGTCTAGTCACGCTGGCCACATGACCATGGAAACGGTCTATGGACAAATGCTGGCTCTACGGCTTGGAGACGGGGATGAGCACTGCGTCCTAGAGTCAGACACGACTAGACTAAATGTCAAGGGGAACCTTTACCTTTATGCATTTTCTAAAATATACTCTTTAATTGTAATTTTGGGATAGATCTGTCCTGTTTGGGGAGCTCCCAGCAGTCCTGAGACCCCCTTAAAAAACATATTATATATAGCCACAAGGGAGTACATGGGATACCATTAAAAACATTTTAACAGCCTAATCACAGCTGTAAATGTTTAAAAACTAAATAGCCAAATTAGGAAACATGGCCTATAGGTTGCTGGCAAATATGAAAAATGATCAAAAATAAGCCTAGGTGTAAGTAAGGTGATTGGTGAAATATTTCCATATTCCACATTTTCTTTTTTTTTTTTAAATGTAGGCTGCATGACAATATTTGACCTAAAACAGTGGATTTGTTAGGTGTCACACTCAGCAGATTCTGAGATCAACTTTGAACTATGCTTCATGCCATGCAGGTGCATTGGCCTTTACCTGTGACATGTTGCCCAGCAAGGAAGACCGGTCCAGATCCTGATTTCAGTCTGAATGTGATGGGAGGAGTCATCTCAAATCCTGCTAGGGTTGTCTGGAGAATTACACAAATTCATGGTCTGAGACACTCACCATAATGCATTTCACTGTCAGATACAATGGAGCATCACAGGCAGATAAAATTGCTGAGAATTCTAGCTAATCCTGAGCACTCATCCTGTCCTGATGCTTGCTGTTTATCCATACCCAGCTGGCGCTGCCTGATAGCAGAAGCAAGTAATTTATTTTATTTCTTACAGTTATTCTCACCATTCCTCAACTGACCTTAAGAATTGTAGCCTCTTTTCTCCATCCTCACAACTGTTCTGTGATGTGGACCAGGATGACAAAGAATAACTGCCCCAAGGATACCTAGTGAGCATCATGTTGGAAAAATAGCAATCTTGCATGCACTAATGCTGATTCTCAGTGGGAGGGAGGTTGACAGCCTAAAGTGATTGTTCTTTGACTGGTAAAGCTTTTCCCATCTATGGCATTTGAGGCAAACTGCTTCTTCCTGTATACTCAGAATGTTATTGTTTTGTTGATTGCCTTCCTCTTCTTTCCTGCCTATCCTCTTGATAAGCAAGTACAGATACTCTCTCCATGCCAGGAGTTTCCATTTTAATCTTTCCCCCTCTGATTATAACTACAAACTGATAACTGTGAGTAAAGATCTTCTACTTTAAAATGCATCTAGAGATAATTTTTTTCCACAGATAAAGATACATTTGTGTGCAATCAAGACTGTGGCTAGTAACACCGGACTCATCTCTCCATGTTTCTCTGTCTTTCTGCCTTATGCTCTTGTGGAAAACGGGTTTTGATCCATGAATTTAACAATACTTGTAGCCGGGAGCTGGAGAGTTCAGGCAAAAAAAGTCACAAATATTATATGACAAGTAAGGAGAAAAAAGGAAACTCGATGTAGTCATAGTTACAGCAAGTAAGAATGTTCTAAATGTTCTAGAAAAGTCTAGGTCAAGACAGTATTCATTTATTTGATTTATACCCCACCCATCTGGCCTATAAGACCACTCTAGGCAGCTAGTAAAAGGTACAGATCAAGATGCCCACTGGAAAGCCCCTTTTCCGCAAGGAGAAGTGGACGTACTGAAACAAATACTACCGTGTCTGTTTCTTGATGTCTTCCTTTGTATGGTAAGACTGTGTTGACCCAATTACTCTGTGCCATTACATGCATGCTCTTCTATTAAAATGAAATGCTCTTATAATAAAATAAAATCAATACCTATGAAGAAACAAGTCTTACAAATTTATTATTACTAAAATTATTACGGGCGTTCTGCTAACAAAAGGAATAACCAAATCCCTAGAAGTCTTTTTTACTCAAAACCACAGAACTTCATTAATCAAAGGGGACCAGAATGTCTATGTCTCAAGTCTCAGCCCAATACAACATCACAATAAACTGGCTCTCCCTTTGTAGTTTGTTTGCCGTTAGCTCCAAGCCAGGAATATCAAGTGGGCAGCAGTCCATTAAAGTCTGGATGAAATATTTTCCGTCAAATGAACGTTTTTCATATTTAAGATTTTGTTTTTGTTTGTTTGTTTTGCTACAGAAGAGCAACATGGCTACCCCACTTAGAAATTTCTGTAATAAATATAGGTCTTACCATTGGGAGCACTGAAAGCTTCAGTGTTGCTATGTGCACTGGAGTCGATTCCTTGCTATCCTTTGGAGGTAAAATCTCCACGATATTGAATTCATCCTTGGCATTTTCACCTAGACAGATCTTTGGAGAGAAAATTAAAACTATATATTAAAAAACACACACACACCCCAAATACTCCAGCAAGCAGGTTTGCCAGGTCTCTAGGTACTGACTGGAGCTTCAGCAAACTGTTGTGCTTTCCTAGTTCTCCAGACCAGGAGACAATTCTCAGCGTTAAGGCCCTGGCGGAGAAAAATTTGGTTTGGTGTGGGAAGTGCCTTTAGAGCTTTGACCAGTAGGAACCATCTCTACCCATTCACAGCTGGTGGCAGGTTCACTAGCTCAGCACATGTACAGTAGATGTATGTTATGCTTGCACAGTATCAGACCATTAAAGCCAGATGAAGGAACTAGGGAGAGAGCATTTGAGTGCATGTGAGTCCATTGTGCCATGTAGGACAAAGGAAGGAGCAGAGCACCGGCTGTTTGACTTCTAAGCATTCTTAAGACTTTATGACACCACGAGGAACTACCTCTCTGACATCATTGGTGATAGTACAAGGATCAACCTCATGGTATCATACTTTGGCTCTGAAATCACAGAGCTGCTCCTGATTTAACAGTCCCACTAGCAAGGCCTGTGCTGAAAGCCATTGACAAGACTTCTGGCAGTTCTGCTGTTCATAACAAAAATGAAATACTAATTGGTTTAAACCAAAAAGTGCTTCATATTAACCGCAACATGGATTCTAGCCACCAGAAGTTCTGAAGGACATGTGATATCTCACGGTTGCGAGATATATGACCGGAAGCTAATTCTAACTGAGATCAGTTTCTCCATCATTCCTTCTACCTTATGACCTGAGGAACAGTTGCATGACCTGCCTCCAGTTTCTTCAGCAGCTCCTAAATATGGATTGGGTTGTAGCCCTACAGATGTTCATGGACTTCAGCTCCTATTGTCTATAACCACCGTAGCCAGTGGTGAGAGATACTAAGGTTTGCAGGCCAACAACATCTGGAGAAAGAGTTGCTCATCCTGGTCCTAAACAAATCTCCAGCCTAGCCAAGATCACATAAAGCAAGCTGACTTTCTATATGATTTTTGTTCACGCAGGACCCTATTCAGTTCAAAGGCCACGAGACACCTTGGATAAAGTGCACATTCTACAGTTGAGTGGTCTATAGGGAATTTCTTGATTTCTGCTTCATCCTTTCCCCACAGCTAAGCCAAGCTGGTGAGGACCTGTGGAAGCCAAATTTAATGCCACATTTCTTTTTTAAAATATTATTCTATTCGCTGTGCTAGAGCTTAAAGATTTTATTCTATTTATCTTATTAGGGTTTCCAAAAGTTGTATACTTTCAGCAAAGATCCATTTCAAGCTCTCGCCATAGCACTGGGAAGTCACCTTATTTCACACACATGTGATTACTGCAGCTGAGGTTCAGCTGGCCACCTTCTCATCATCTACCCTTGTCAGAAAAATTTAACAAGTCACATACCGTCCTCAGAGTTAATTGCTGCTCATACGACCAGTCCTCTGGGATGTCAAATGTGTAGGTTCGGTTCTCGTCATTTAGCTGACATCCTGTACATATACAAAATACAGGTCAGAAAGCTCTCTGGCCATCTCTACTTCTCCCCTAGAAAAGCCCAAGGTCATTACCCCAGATTAAGCAGAGATAAGGTCTTTACCCCAGATAAAACAGATAGGCTTGTCCGATCTACAGCTATCATTCATGGCAGAGCTGTGTTCTAAGGCCATTTCTTTTAAAGCAGAAGTCTTCTAAAACAGAAAGGAACATCATGAGCCGGGGGGGGGGTATTTCCAGAAAAGACAAGTCAAAATTTATAACTGAAGCAAAAGGCCTTCAAGAAACGGCACCAATTTGTTTTAAGAATTTTTGGTACTTCTCAACAGTGTTATTGCTCTGAAGGCCAAATCAGATTTAAAAACGCCCTTTTTTGCATTTGAACTGCAGCTGCAAATTGCACCAACTTGTGGGAGCTGATAATTAACAGATGCAGTAGAAGCATACATTGCAGAGAGGGAGAGAAAGGGTTAAATTCCATCCAGTGAGATTCCACACAAGCAACAAAATGAAGTTAGTAGGCTCTGAGAAAGACTTCTTGTTACTTGCTTCCTTCCCCAAGTTGGTGTAATTTGCATTTTACAAAAAGACATGTTTTAAATTGAAAGACTTTTCAAATATCTGCCTTAGCCTAGCCTTTTGTTTGAACTCATTCAGTCCATGAAACTGAAGTTATACTCATGAGAAGGGACTCCAGTCTTCAGGTGAACATCTTTTTACAGTATTTCAATTGTTGTAAGCCACCCAGAGACCTTTGGGTAGTGTGGGTGGCAAGATAAATAAATTATGTGTTCCCCAATTACAGTAGTTCATAGTGTTGTTGGCTTCAGGTTCTAGAGAAAACTGGCCAGTCTTGGATACATTGAACCTTGATTCAAGCAGAAAGGGACTCTGTTTGCTGCTCTACCACAGGAAAACTAATATTCCTTACCCACCCTGCTCTACACTTGGGGTAATCCAATTAAAAACAACATATTTTGTTTTATTCTTACCGAGAGCATTTTACCTATAAACACACATCATTCATGGCAATTTTCTCAGGCAAAAAAAGAACAAAGTTGGTTCAACAGGACAAAAGGGTATAAATCTGTTTAATGCCAAGTAGGCCCATTGAATCAAAATGTTTTGCAGACGTATTGGGTTACCATTTAGCAATTGATTCAATGGGTTTACTCTAGTTTGGCCAATACATAGTTATTAGATACCAACAACAGCAGAGAACTTTCAGCCTCTGAAGCACCATCAAAAGCAAAATAAGTAATATCCATTCCACAGCATTCAGCTCAGCAAACTGCTACAAGCTGCAGTGTACAAATTATGCCCAGACATCAGATTTCCTTTCTACCTTTCAGGTCCTTTCATTTATTTATTTTTACTTAGCTTATAAACTTGATGGCAAATGTACCATATTAACTGATCTTTGGAAGCTGCTCTAATTGCCTTTCCTCAACAAAATGCAGAATAACTATTAGAAAGCTTAGGGAAAAAAACACTAAGAAATCCATTTGTAAGTTTACTGTCCTTAGCAAGAAAGGTCTCCATTGATTTTTCCATGCTTAATTTCTGAAGGAGTCAAATCAACTTCATAACAACTCACCAGACCTCCCTTTAAAACAGCCTAGCAAAATCAGCTCTCAGCAGGCAACCTTTATATAAAAAAAGAAACAGGTGCTTTATCCCTCCTTAGGCCAATCATCTCTGTCCTATTACCAGAAGCAAAAAGTGGAATTTAAAGTTAACCAAACCACCCTTGCAAAGGAGAGTCACTTCCCTAAAATATCACTTCATCCCGATTTCCAAAATTTCTGGGAATCACATCTCCAGGTGGGGTATCCTTTCTGGGAACGGCAATCAAAAAAATTAACTTTTCTTGTCCTGGCACTGAGTTCAGTGGGGCTTACATTCACCCAGAGTAGATTCATTTAGAATCTAGATGGGCGGGGTAAAAGCTGAATAAATAATAAATAAATAAATAAATTAAGTGTAGGCGGGATAAATACAATGTGTCTTGCCTACATGGGATTTGGTAATGGGGTAATGGACTTACAATAACCCAGCCAAGGTTTCCATGCGAGGAATTGATTTCTTGGCTGCAAAGCTTATGTCTTCCACCACTACCTTTATGCTCTGCTTATTACCTGCAGTGGAACAGCTCAAAGAAAAAGCTTGAAAGAATGAACTAATTGGAGGCTGATGGAAGGAATTTGGTATTCTCACATCCCGCTTTTAAGAGTTCATTTCAACAAAGAACAGCGTGCTCACTGGATGGGATTGAAGGAGAGGTGCAACTGACATCTTATTGTTGTGTTGAGCAGTGGTCCCCAACCCTGGGCCTCCAGATGTTCTTGGACTTCAACTCCCAGAAATCCTGGCCAGCAGGGGTGGGGGTGAAGGCTTCTGGGAGTTGTAGTTCAACAACATCTGGAGGCCCAACGTTGAGGACCACTGGTGTAGAGTATTTCACTACGTCAAGCTTCCCATGACAAAGCCATGTTCCTTTAATCTCTTTAATCATCATCATTTCTACTTCTTGGTGAGACCAGATGTTAATTGCAACTCTTCCTGTGATATGTAGAAGAGGGCCAGTTTTAAGATGGTAGAAGCTTCAGTACTGTCCCTCCTCCTTCCCATTGTGGACATGCATTCAAAGCTTATGATTTAACATTATTCTCCCTACAGAGTTTGGAGTGGGGGGCTTTCACCCCCCATCATTTCCCATCTCTTGATCTTCAATAGCGCCCTTCTGTTTTGAAAGTGTCTTATGAAAATGCTGCCAGTATGAGTGGCTTGTCTTTGTGTTTCCTAACCCATTTATATTCTGAACATGCCATGTAAGCCTGGTAGGTCATCCAAATTAATGCCGTGGTGGCGTTGCGGGTTAAACCGCAGAAGCCTCTGTGCTGCAAGGTCAGAAGACCAGCCATCGTAAGATCAAATCCACGCATCGGAGTGAGCCCCCGTCGCTTGTCCCAGCTCCCGCCCACCTAGCAGTTCGAAAGCATGCTAAATGCAAAATGCGAGTAGATAAATAGGTACCATCACAGTGGGAAGGTAATGGCATTCCGTGTCTAGTCGCGCTGGCCATGTGACCACGGAAGATTGTCTTCGGACAAAGGATAGCTCTATGGCTTGGAAATGGGGATGAGCACTGCTCCCTAGAGTCGGACACGACTGGACAAATTGTCAAGGGGAACCTTTACCTTTACCTTAAAAACCCATAAAGTAGCATTTCACCAATGTTATTACAGTATCTGCCTACAGGTTTTTCTTGTGTCTTTCTCTCATGGACCAACATGGTTCCCTTAGGGTTTGTGTCTTCTGTAGCGAGAGGGTCAAAGGCGTTGCCAGCTGTCCATGCCTAGATATTGGCATCTCCTGCTGCACAGACATACTCCTTAGCAACCACCCTCTTCACCCATTCATTCATTCATTGTCAGACAATGAAACCTACTTCCCAAACAACCCACCCCATCACAAAAAAAAGGGAAATCCATGCATCATGTTTAGATATGATGGAGTAAAATGAATGCACATCACTCCTTGCCATTTCAGGCCAACATGAGAAGATATTGTCACTTGCTGGTCATTTGTGGAGCATCAGTGACAGAGGCTGAGGTGCAGTGCAAGCACCTATACTAGTACTGTAGTCCTCGTAGCCACATTTCCATGGAGAAGCCAAAGGGTAAACAAATATCCGTATCAACACACCTGTGCTTTCCCTTCCAGCACAAACAGGTCTTCTGTTGGGCTAATAGATTTTAATTGCTCATTCAGGACCAAGTCACCTGTAAATACTTCATTGCCATAAAGATCATTGGCAACATTAAGCTGTGGCTGAGAACAATGTTTTTCCTCCCATGAGTGCAGAAGGAACAGGACCTCTTGCGAGAGTGGGAAGTTATGCCATTTTTCCTGATAATCAATGCGTCCTATCATGCTTGAGCCTGGTCTTCACTACACCATCGATTGTGGGGGGGACCCACCTCAGTCAGACGTGAGATACCAGCAGTTGGTTACATTTGTGAAAGTGGCGTGTCTTCTCACTTTCACATGGGGTTCTCTGGTTGCTCAACAAAGAAAATAAAACAAAAAACCCACAACAACCATCAGATCCCAGCTGTTAAAGCCTTCGAGAATACAAAATAAAACAACTTAACTTGGGGGTGGGGTTGCTTATAAATCACAATTGAGTGTACAGTGTAAGCATGGAGAGGTTTCCACTGTGGGTCTTCTCACTCTCAAGAAAATGTGAGATCTGAGTTCAAGTTCTTGGCTTGCCACGCATCTATTGGGCAACCTTATGCCAGACACCATCTCACAAGCCTAACCAACTCAGAGGTTTTTGTGATGAGAAACGGTCAGTAGAGCTCATTGGAGAAATGAGGAGATGGTATGTTTAAGACTGCAACGTTAGACACACATAGTTGGGTTTCTTCCCTATGAAGAGAGCTTGGACATGTTAACTTCTCAGAAGGCTCCAGCCAGCATGGTCCATTGTAGTAAGTAGCTTTTCCTAGGTTTCTGCCAGAATCATTCGACGCTTTTGTGTGCTTGTGACTTTATGTGATTCTTTCCTCCTACGAAAGACTCAAAAAGGGGACAAGCTTACAAAAGTGTTGAATGGTTCAGACAAAACCCAATCAGTCCTAACCAAATCAGTTTATGGGCAGAAAAATAAGAAAGAAAATTAATGATTTCCAAAATATGGGGCTCCATTTTATTGCTGTCTGTCTTTCCTTCATCCTTCTCTTTTATTTTCCCTTGCAAAAATTAAAGCTCAGAAAAAGGAGAAGCCGTGGCCCTCATGGCTGACCAACCACTCTTGTTTATTCATAATGGGGAAACTAATCACCAGAGAGTACCACTGACATGTTTGCATAAAGGGATACCTGAACTCCTAAAAAAGACACATAGGCCCTCCCCCAGATCTCTCATGCATGAGTTTCTCAAAGCAGGGCACAAGAAAGAGTGAAAGAGGTCATATCAGCAGTTTGTGACTGGGATATTGGCAAAGTTGTACATCGTGGTAGAAAGTGGCAGCTGTAAATTTGCTTGAGGAATAATACAACAGGCTCAAGCTAAGCAATAAAGTTTAACACCTATTTAAAAGAGGTCCTTTCGGATAGTGACAAATGCTTGTCATAGCACACGATTGCCTTCAACTACATATCTTGCATCGAGTGTGCTTTCTTTGGTTACTGCTCATGGGAAGGTAGACATGGACTGAATTTGTAAGTCTGATTGCTGGGGCATGTATCTGTGAGTCAATCGTAGTGTAGTAGAGGGAGTGTGCCAATTGTGGGGCACATCCATTCCCCTAACATGTCATGTGTGGCGTTCACCCTTATTACGCTAAATAGGTTGTGCATTATTCATGTTTTATGTTGATGTGGTTGAGAGGTGGAGCCACTAGAGATGTTACAAGGCAGAACCAGAGAGGAGTGGAATTTACAGTCTAGATCTGAATTTGAAAGGAGGGAGAGAGAGAGAGAGAGAGAGAGAGAGTTAGTTTGGGAATCTGAGGAGTGATTATTTGGAGGAGTGAATATTAACCTGTAAGATAATATAGAAGATTGTTATTGATGCTGGATGAAACTGAAGAAGATACTTATGAATTATTATAGAAACATCTGTAATCAATAAACCTATTTTATTCAAAAGACAGTGATGAATGGACCTTGTCTTTCCTAAGTAATGTACGTTGATAAAGAAATCAACTGGTGGCAGCATGTGAAAAGTTTGTGTGTGTGTTTGCCTTCATGAGCTCTCTGTTTTAGGGAGACAAACAGGCCACAAAGGGGCAAACGTCACATCATGTGACTTTAAAATAGAACGGAGTAGCAAGAACACAACAATTCCGACTTCTTGAGGTCGGGGTGTTTGTTTTTCCACATTCCGCCCCCTCCCAATCCATGCCTATTGATTGCAGTAGTCTGTGGAGCAGCAGATCATTTCATCCGACATGATGGAACCCTGTCCTCGCTCGTTATAGCATTCCTGGAGGCATCCAACTTCTGTAAAGATAATCTTGTTTCCTGGAAAGAGAACAAGAGAGAATATAAAATTAAACATGAAGAAGCCAGTTTTTCTGTTGTATAGCCGTTGCTCTTTTTCAGACACCCTAAGATCTCAGATCTTAAGAAGCCACACAGTATAAATTCAGCTTTCATCCCCTTAGAGCTCAGAAGAGAGACACAGCAATTCCTATACACACCTATATGTCTGTAAGTTCTATTGAACTGAATGGGTCATATATCTAGAGATCCATAGTGTTGTACCAAGACACATTCAATGTTTGGGGCATTGAAAGCATGATCCAAAGTGGGAATTTTGAATCCAATGTAAACAATGAATTTGCTTATTTAAACGTATCTGTTGTACTGGTTATCTCAGAAAGCTTTCATATTGCTGAGCTGATTTAGCCGAAATGGCAACCAGCCTGATTTCTGATGTGACGCTGCGTTTGGCGCATCTAAACTGTGTTCCATAGACAGGGTTGTAACTAGAGTGGAGCATTTGAGACTTTCCCCCAGGACAGCAAAATTTAAAGAGCAACAAAATCAAGAAGTCAATTTGTTGGAGAGCGTTAGGAAAATTAACAATTATACCCCCTGGCCCTACTCCCTTTCCTTTAAAGACAGAGGGGGAAAAACACTTTCTCTTTCC